TGATGTAGAATCGGTGGGCGGGGCTAAACAGGCAGTGATGTAGGATCGGTGGGCGGAACTAAACAGGTAGTGCTGTAGAATCGGTGGGTGGGGCTAAACAGGTAGTGCTGTAGAATCGGTGGGCGGAGCTAAACAGGCAGTAAACCGGCAGTGATGTAGAATCGGTGGGCGGGGGTAAACAGGCAGTGATGTAGAATCGGTGGGCAGGGCTAAACAGGCAGTGATGTAGAATCGGTGGGCGGGGCTAAACAGGCAGTAATGTAGAATCGGTGGGCGGGGTTAAACAGGCAGTGATGTAGAATCGGTGGGTGGGGCTAAACAGGCAGTGATGTAGAATCGGTGGGCGGGGCTAAACAGGCAGTAATGTAGAATCGGTGGGCGGGGTTAAACAGGCAGTGATGTAGAATCGGTGGGTGGGGCTAAACAGGCAGTGATGTAGAATCGGTGGGCGGGGCCAAACAGGCAGCGCTGTAGAATTGGTGGGCGGGGCTAAACGGGCAGTGATGTTGATCTTCTTCTGCGGAGGCGGTGCTTATCCACACTATTACATCATAGAGTAGAACATTCCACAAGCTGTGGTTTTGGCAGACTGCCTTCGATATAAGCTGTTTTTAGACTAATGACAAAGTTTTGAGCTCTGACACTTACAGGATGTTTTTATAGTACAATGACCTCTTAAATGTCAAAAGATCAAGGGAAAAGGAATTTTGGTTTCTCAGTTGTGTCATGACCCCTTTAAAATAACACTGATGGAGGAACAGTGTCAGCTGTAGTTTAAGGCTCATTTCATGTTCAGTGTTTATTTACACGTTTGAAGAGTCGAGCTGGAGACTGGAGTGGGGAATTTGGCTGATTCAGTCTGCAGTACAGCGTTCATGGATGAGAAATATTTGGTTTGCCGTTGCTGAGAAACACAAGCAACACAAACAGGTCGATGGCGCACAAGCGAGTCTTTGACGACAATCCAGTCTGCCTTCACTATCTCAGTTTCTACTCCTTCATCCTGAGGGAAAAACTCATTTCAGACAATACAGATGATCCGTATCCCAGCCGCTTCTGTTTGTGTTGAAGGATCACAGGCTTTGACATACATATCTGACCGCCGTCCATCAGAGACAGAGATTAGGAGGGTCATTAAGGTCACCTGGTCAATAAAATCTACATTAGGATGATTTTAAGTTGATACTCTAATGTTTTAGCTCAGATGTTTCTACTAAAAGTCCTTTTGAGAAAAAAAAAGTCACTAGTTGTGATCTATACAATGTATCTGGAGCAGCTCAGATCATTTTGAAATCTCAAATCTGAGAACAGATTTGGAGATATGTACTAAAAAAGGACACAAATGTGAGAATACAGAGGTATTTTGTCATATTTACCTCTAAATTATTCAGACACTTTACCCTAGGGTGCAGTTTATATCAGGGTTATTATGGTTAACTTAAACTAAAACTATAATTAATAAATGTTAACATCAACTTTAATTATTATGTTATGTTAAATTAAATAAAAAATATATATATTTCATCTAGTTAGCATTTTAATTTAGTTTGATTTGATGTACTAACATTTCTAAAACTAAAACTGAAATAAAAATGAATAAGAAATACAGAGTTCTGTATTTAACTCTAGATGGCGCAGTCCGATAGGTCTAACTCAATCTGACCCAATGACATCATTATCACATGGCACAGCTGATTGGTTCTCTCCTGTATCGGTAGCCAATGGAATCACTGCTCAACATTCAAATATATGACTAGTGCTTGTCGTAGCAGAGCAGCTTGCTACAGAAACCCTCCACCTTCCCCAGCTCCACCTGTATAGATCTGCTACGAGGTGATTCGTGTATGCTATATAGGGTTATTTCTTGTATGTTTTATTTGCAGCAGCAGTATTTCTTACATGCTCACAGCAGCATGTTGTGGATGTATTGGCAGTAGCAAGTCTCGGTACTTGCTCTGCCGCAGCAGCAGCGTAGCAGATCTATTCCACCAAGACCAAATACATTAACATTTGCACGTACATTACCTTGCCAATCCCTCCGAGAGTTGTTATGACAGAAATATATATATATGTACACGCACTCCAACTTCACCTCATTTCATATTAAAGCGCAAATTAAACTACGAGCATGCGTGTCAGATCCGCGTCACGTTCTGCAGTGGAAGCTCTTAAAGTAATAGCAGCCAAAACAACCTAATAACCAGCTGCTGTGATGTCTGTTCATCAAAGAACAAAACAAAAAAAGGAAATCAATAACTTTTGTAGCTTTAAGGATTCATCTATTTTTAATTTAGAATTTAGTGTTTGATAACTTTATTCAATTTCTGTATATTTCCTACTTGCTGAAGGGCACAGGTAGCTAGCAGTACATAGTATGATTTATTAATAATGTTTATTGAGTTTGGTATTTTTAAAAACACTGTTTTAATGCATTAAGCCACGTTAAGAGTTTTTCACGTTAACCGTTTTAGAATGATCATTTGCATTGATGCATTTGGCAGACACTACATCTTTGCATTCCAAGTGTGACCAGTTCATGCATTCTCTGGGAATCAAACCCATGACCTTGGTGTTGCGAGCGACATGATCTACTGTTTGAGCTACAAATATGATATTTTTTTATTTCAGACTGACAGGAAAAATCAAGCGGCTGGAGAAGCTGTGCGGTGTGTCAAAGATGTCTGAATGTGTATTTAAATCGCAACTTTAAGGCCAGAAACACAGTATGCAATACTAGATCTGTGCATTACATGACTGTATATATGTAAAGGGTTATTACATGCAAAAAAGATAATACTGTCATCATTTATTCTCATGTCATTCAAACCTGTATGATTTTCTTTCTTTCTCCTGTGGAATGCAAAAAGAATATATTTTGAAGACCAAACATTGACTTTCATTATTTGCACTGCAACAAAAATATTTTTGTTATGTTTTCCAGTACAAATATCTAAACATTCATAAATCAAGATGCATTTATTTGAAAAGCAAAATGACAACATATGCAGTTTTGTTTTCTGAAAAAATGACCAAAATGAACTGTGTTTAAGCTTAAAACAAGAACAAATATCCGCCAATGGGCTCAGAAAAATACACTTGTTTCCCGTTTTAATTAAGTTGATTTTTCTGACTCCACTGACAGATATTAGTTCATGTTTTAATCTTAAAATCACTTCATTTTGATCAATTTCTCTTATATAATTTTGCTTGCATCTTAATTTAAAAATAATTAGATGTTTGTACTGGAAATAGCAGTAATAAACTCATGTTTTGCAGTGTGGACATCAGCATTCATACGATTATAGTTTTTATAAATATTCTGAATTGTTTTTATTTTCATATTTTGTGTTTTCATTTTAATTTTAGTTAAAGTTTTAGTAATTTTGCTGTGTTTTTGTCATTTTTATGTAATTTTTTATGTCTACATAGTTTTTATTTATAAATGTTTTTCAGTTTTAGTTATTTAAGTAAATCAAGTTAACTAAAAGTAAATTAAAATGAGGAATGCTGCTTTGGCAACTAGCTGAAATCATTATTTTATTTTATTTCACTTAACTTTTAAGTCATTAAAAGTACAAAAAAAAGTTTTTTAAAGGTTTTAGTTGCAGTTTCAGTTTTAGTTAACTATAACTCTGGTGGACAGAAATTTAAAAAAGTAAGTCATACAGGTTTGAATGACACGAGGGGAGTAAATGATGCCGAAACAATCATTTTTAGGTTAAAATGTGGAGACTTACTTGTCCTGAATCTGGATGCGGCTCCAGTAGAGCGGTTTCATGGGGCAGGCCGGTTCCACGGCTGGTTTACGAGCCGCTTTCTCCGTCGCCTGTCCGAATCCAAACCCACCGAGAGCAGGAGGCGGAGGAGGAGCTCCACAGCCCGGCATGGGCGGAGGAGGGGGCGGAGCTCCTGGTAGACCGGGTGGGGGCGGAGGAGGGGGCGGGGCTCCAGGGAGAGGTGGCGGAGGGGGCGGAGCTCCTGGTAGACCAGGTGGGGGCGGCGGAGGGGGCGGGGCTCCAGGGAGAGGTGGCGGAGGGGG